TTAATACCCATCCCCGTGACCCTGGGTTCTAATGCTAAATTAGATAAGAAATCAAGGTTGGGAGCAGTGGCTCACAGGCTGGAGTGCAATGGTGGGATCTCAGCTCACTGCAATCTCCACCTCCCAGGTTCAAGTAATTCTTCTGCCTCAGCCTCCGGGGTGGGGATTACAGGCATGTGCCACCACATCCAGCTAATTTTGTATTTTTAGTAGAGACAGGGTTTCTCCATGTTGGTCAGGCTGGTCTCAAACTCCTGGCCTCAGGTGATCCACCCACCTTGGCCTGCCATAGTGTTGGAATTACAGGCGTGAGCCACTGCGCCCGACTGGATAGTTTGTTATAATCTGTCCAGAGTTTATAATTGTTACCGGTAGGATGACTGTTCTGATATGATCTGCTCCATCATTATTGGAAAGAAATGCTTCCTCCAATCTCATCTGTTTTTACTAACCCTACCATCAACAGTCTGTCCTCTAGCCATATTCCATTATTTAAAGCTTCTAGAACAGGCCATGCTCTCTCTTGTCACTGGGCCTTTGTTTGGTGGCAGAGGTTGTTAAGAGGTGGTCTTGCTATGTTGCCCAGGCTGCAGTGCAATGGCTATTCACAGGCATGATCCCTCTACTGATCAGCTCTGAAGTGCTTCATTTCTGATCTGGGCCAGTTCACCCCTCCTTAGGCAACCTGGTGGTTCCTCACTCCAGGGAGGTCACCATATTGTTGCCCAATTTAGTGTGGACACCCAATCAGCATAGTGCACTAAAGCCCGGAACTCCTGGGCTCAAGTGATCCTCCCACCCAACCCTCCCCAATAGCTGAGACTACAGGCATGTGCCATTATACCTGATATCTCTGAGTCTTTACACATGCTTCTTTCTCTGCCTCCTCATACCCCAGCCCAAGTATCTTCTACTCATTCTTTAGGATTCAGCATATGCATCATCTCTTTTAGAGAACTTTATCAGTTGGGAGTGATTCAAGTTAGAGAAACTTCCTTGCAATAACAAGCCAAAACAGGATTTAATATAAGAGTATAGAGGTGGCCAGGCACGGTGGCTCACGCCTGTAATCCCAGCACTTTGGGAGGCCGAGGCAGGCAAATCACTAGAGGTCGGGAGTTAAAGACCAGCCTGACCAACGTGGAGAAACCCCATCTCTACTAAAAATACAAAATTAGCCAAGCGTGGTGGTGGGCACCTGCCTCAGCCTCCCAAGTCATGTAATCCCAGCAACTTGGGAGGCTGAGGCAGGAGAATCACTTGAACCCAGGAGGCAGAAGTTGTGGTGAGCCGAGATTGCGCCATTGCACTCCAGCCTGGGCAATAAAATGGAAACCCCATCTCAATAAATAAATAAATAAATATATTTTTTAAAAAAGGGTATAGCAGTATACTCATCCTTGGGGAAGGAATCATCAAAAACCAAGCACTCCATTTCATTGGGAGTTTATCTTTTTTTTTTTTTTTTTGAGATAGACTCTTGCTTTGTCGCCCAAGCTGGAATGCAATGGTGTGATCTTGGCTCACTGCAACTTCCACCTCCCGGGTTCAAGCAATGCTATTGCCTCAGCCTCCAGAGTAGCTGGAATTACAGACGCACGCCACCACGCCCAGCTAATTCTTGTATTTTTAGCAGAGATACAATTTCACCATGTTGGCCAGGCTGGTCTTGAACTCCTGACTTTGTTGTCCGCCCGCCTTAGGCTCACAAAGTGCTGGGATTACAGGTGTGAGCCACCGCGCCCAGCCAGGACTTTATCTCTTGGGTCTGTTCTTTCCCACCCTTAGAATCCCAGTTTGCCTCTTCAAGTAGCTTTATTACTGCGTGTTTACTTTCTTTCTTCTCCTCTAGACCATAAGTTCCTTGAGGGCAGGACTGTGCCTTTATTAATTTCCTCATCCTCAGAACTTAGCAGAGTACACCCAGCAGAGTTCACAGGTGGTGGAAGAGGCAGACAAGTAAACTGGCCCTTAATGCACAACAGAGCCAGAGGAAATAGAGAGGACTCACCTCCCTATCTGGGCAGTCAAGAAGCTTCAGGAAGGAAACAGGCTGATGTGTTGCTTGTGCTTTGATCGGGGGATCCAAAGGAAAGTCCCATAAAATGCATAGAATCTTTTTGTTTTTGAGATGTGGCCTCAATATCACCCAGGCTGAGTACAATGGTGCAATCAGGGATCACTGTAGTCATAACCTCCCTGGCTCAAGCGATCCTCCTACACCAGCCCCCCAAATAGCTGGGACTACAGGCATGCACTACCATGTCTAGCTAGTCTTTTTTTTTCTTTGTAGACATTTTATCAGAGTCTCACTGTGTTGCCCAGCCTGCTCTCAAACGCCTGGTCTTGAGCCTCCTGCCTCAGCCTCCCAAAGTGCTGGGATTATAGGCAGGAGCCACCACACCCAGCCACAGAGAACTTCCCAGCTCCCTGGGTCTCCACTGAAGTGAAGAGAGAACATCAGTGAATTTCTGCGCGTTGCTTGAAGACAGAGGAAGGGAACGAGGCACAGAGCAGCGGCTTTGGCGCTCTGTTCCTCTAACATTTCAGCCATGTGAGATTCTTTCAGTTCCTCTTTTCCGCCTCAGCCTTCCAAAGTGCTGGGATTACAGGCGTGAGCCACCGCACCCGGCTGTTTTTGTTTTTGAGACAGGGTCTCACTCTGTCACTCAGGCTGGAGTGCAGTGGCACCATCACAGTTCACTTTTTTTTTCAGATAGAGTCTAGTTCTGTCACTCAGGCTAAAGTGCAGTGGCGTGAACCTCCATCTCCCAGGTTCATGCAATTATCCTGCCTCAGCCTCCCGAGTACCTGGGACTACAGTTGCACACCAGCATGCCTGACTAATTTTTGAATTTTTTTAAGGGAAATGGGGTTTCACCGTATTGGCCAGGCTGGTCTGGAACTCCTGGCCTCAAGTGATCCACCCACCTCGGCCTCCCAAAGTGCTGGAATTACAGGTATGAGCCTCTGCACCCAGCCATTTCCCCACAACTTTTTAATTGGAAAACTTTCAAATCTACATAAAATTTACATGAAAAGGACAATAAACACCCATCTATACTTCACATGGATTCATCAGTTGCTTACATTTTGCACAGTGGTTCTCTCTCTGTGCTTCTTTTTTCTCTCTTTCTCTCTACACACACATACATTATACATGCACACATATACTTATTTTTTGCTGAACCATTTAAGAATTAATTGTAGGCCAGGCACAGTGGCTCACGCCTGTAATCTCAGAACTTTGGGAGCTTGGGGCGGGTGGATCACTTGAGGTCAAGAGTTTGAGACCAGCCTGACCAACCTGATGAAACCTGGTCTCTACTAAAAATACAAAAATTAGCCAGACATGGTGGCACACGCTTGTAGTCCCAGCTACTCGGGAGGCCGAGGCATGAGGATCACTTGAACCTGGGAGGTGGAGGTTGCAGTGAGCCGAGATTGCGCCACTACACTCCAGCCTGGGCAACAGAGCAAGACTACATTTCAAAACAAACAAAGAAAAAAAGAATCAATTGTAGACATCATTACATTTTATCCCTAAATACTTCAGTATGTATCTCCTAAGAAAAAGAACATTCTCCTATACAAACACAGCACAATTATTACAACATTACAATACTATTAACTAATATACATTCATATCCGAACTTCCCAATTTTCTCAATTACGTCCTTTACAGCTGTTTATTTTTTTTTCCAGGACCAATCAAGAACCGTGAATTGCTTTTGGTTGCCATATCTTAGTCTCTTTTTTTTCTTTTTTTCTTTTTTTTTTTTTTGAGGCCATCTCGTTCTGTTGCCCAGGCTGGAGTACAGTGGCTTGATCTCAGCTCACTGCAACCTCAGCCTCCTGGGCTCAAGCAATTCTCCTGCCTCAGCCTTCTTAGTAGCTGAGAGTACAGGTGCATGCCACCACGGCTGGCTAATTTTTGTATTTTTAGTAGAGACGGGGCTTCTCCATGTTGGCCAGGATGGTCTCGATCTCCTGACCTTGTGATCCACCTGCCTCGGCCTCCCAAAGTGCAGGGATTACAGGCGTGAGCCACTGCACTTGGCCATTGACTACTTTCTTTACCTTTCAGTCTTCATTTTTGAATAGTCTGGGTCAGATGTTTAGCAATTTAATGCCCCTAATGTGGATTTGTCTGATGATTTCCTCATGGTTAGATTCAGATGAAACTTTTTTTTTTTTTTTTAACAAGATGTCACTTGCATGATGCTGTGGATGCCTTTTCATTGCAATGCCTCCATTTCAGATGTGAGAAAGTTCTGGGCCTGTAGGGCATTTCAAGCCTGGATATGTATGAGGGAGGAGGGGATAGATGTCCATCTATGTACCAGATCCTCAGATTCCAGGGTGGGGTGGTGGGGAAGGCTCAGGGAGCTGATGGGGTTCTTATGCAGCCACAGCCACAGTTTGTCTTGGCAGAGTTCATTGCCAGGGATGGCTGCTGACTGCAGGGCACTTACGGTGGGCAGCCAGGCCCGAGGTGAGAACTTCTCCTCCCCACCAGGAGCTCCAGGTGTTCAGTAGCAGCCAGTTCCTCAGTTAATGGGTCACCTGCTGTGGCGGCCACTCTCTGTTGATGCAGCTACAAGGGAAATGAAGAGGGCTGAGGGAGGTGGCCATGCCAATGCTGCCCTGTGGAGGAGAGAGACAGCAAAGGGACAGGTGCATAAAGACAGAGGGAGCCATGGATGGGCACGGTGGCTCACATCTGCAATCCTAGCAATTTGGGAGGCCAAGGCAGGCAGATCACTTGAGCTCAGGAGTTGGAGACCAGCCTGGGCAACATGGTGAAACCCTGTCTCTATCAAAAATACAAAACAAATTAGCTAGAAGTGGTGTCACAAGCCTGTAAAGCTACTTGGAAGGCTGAGGCAGGAGAGTCTCTTGAACCCAGGAAGAGGAGGTTGCAGTGAGTCAAGATCATGTCACTGCACTCCAGCCTGGGTGACAGTGCAAGATTTCTTCTCAAAAAAAGAAAAACACACACACACACACAAAGACAGAGGGAGTCAGAATAAAAAACAATGAAAGGGTGAGAGCCAGGGCATCAGAGGGGACGCACACACCAGCAAAGGAGAGAAAAGTGGAGGGACAGAGGCACAGAGACAGAACAACCAAGAAACTCATAAGCGGCAGCCCGGAGAGAAAAGGAAGCGCCAGCTGGAGTGCCTCACTTACAATTTGCAAGTCCTTTCTGAGGCTCTCTGGCTTTGGCCTTTGTCGGACAGTCAAGAGAGTTCGTGTTTATATCGGTCAGACTCAAAGGGTACAAGGGTTTCCCCCAAGGGGCTGTCGGGGGTCACCTGCTCAGTCTGTACTTTTCCAAACACAGAAATTCTCCTTTGAGCCCCAGAAGCCAGGGCCTGGGCCAGCAGTTTCCTGCTGGAGCTCAGCATGTCTCCTCTTTTTTCACAGGGCTGTCGGCACTGAGGAAGGCCTACGGGTAAAGAGGAGGAGCAGGAGAGAAGCAGACAGAAGGGAGGACTCGGAGAAAAGAAGCCACTAGAAATAGCCTTCCCTCTGGAGTGGGGAGGAATCCAAAAATCCCAGGAGCTGCCCAGCGGGTGTGACCTTAGCTAATAATAACAGGCCAGGGTTTTCTCACGAGAAAAAGGATCAGCAGAGAGGAGGGTGGAGGGAGAGAGAAGCTGCTCAGCCCCCACACTGCGAGGGGGACAGACAGCACCAGGGGTTCTGCCAGGGCCAAACTCCTCTAAGAGCTCCTGGGGAACGGCTCTGTTAGGGGAACACGGGCTGGACAGAGGAGAATTTTTGGCAGTAATGTGCGTGTCTGTGCTTTTCTTTTGCAGGAAGAGAAGACGGTGGAAAGAGCATAGGCAGGAATCAGGAATCTTTTGTGGCATCACAGCTGAACCTAAGTGACGAAGCCCCTTTCTGTCCTCTGCCCTTGGCCAAAATAACACTCATCAGTTCCTGCTTCTTACTGAGGCGGCTGAGGGGCGTCAAGGGGCTGGACAGGACACCCCGCAAACTTTCCAGCCATTCCTGCTGCTCCTTCTCGTTGGGGCAAGTGAGGACAAATCTCCTCTCTGGGGTGACAATGGTGAGTCCGGCTTTCCAGCGATTCCCTCGGATGCCCTTGGGTAGGTCTCCATAGACTTCATATCCCTGCTCATTGTTCCCAAGAAAAACCTGGCCCTGCTCGAAGGCATCCTGAAAATAGAGGGAACAGGGTCATCAGAGGGTACCCCCAGGGCAGAGAGGCCCTGCAGTCCTGACAGCCTCCAACCTCTATTTTGGGAAAGGGGTATGAGTGTCCCTGCTGGGGTTTCTGCTAAGTGGGACCCAGAATTTGAAAGATCAAAATCCTGAAATAAATCATACACATCATCTGTTGAAAAGATACTGAGGGTGGGCCTGGTAGTTCATGCCTGTAATCCCAGCACTTTGGAAAGCCGAGGCAGAGGATTACTTGAGGCCAGGAATATGAGATCAACCTGGGCAAAACAGGGAGACCCTGTCTCTACAAAAAACTTTTATTAATTATTATTATTGTGAGTTGTTTTTGGAGATAGGGGCTCACTCTTCACCCAGGCTGGAAGTGCAGTGGCACAATCATGGTTCATCCCAGCCTCAACCTCTGGGCTTGATCCTCTCACTTCAGCCTCCCAAGTAGCTAGGACTACAGGCATGCGCCACCACACCCGGCTAATTTTTAAATTTTTTGTAGAGATGGATCTCACTATGTTGCACAGGCTGGTCTCAAACTTCTGGGCTCAAGCGATCCTCCTGCCTCAGCCTCCAAAAGTGCTGGGATTATGTAAAGGCAGGAGCCACTGCTCCCAAGCCCTAAAATGTTTTTTCTAATTAGCTGGGTGTGTTAGTGCATGCCTGTGTTCCAAGCTACTCAGGAGCTGAGGCACGAAGATACCTTGAGCTCAGAAGTTCAAGGATGCAATGAGCTGTGATGGTGCCACTGCATTCCAGCCTGGGTGACAGAGAGAGACTCTCTAAAAAAATAAATGATACCTAACATTTATGGAGAGCTTATTAAAATAAGGAATTACAATGCTTTACATATAGTACCTCATATAACCATCATGGCAACCTCTGGGGAAGCCATTCTTATGAAACCTGTTTTTCAGAGGAGGAAACTGAGGCACAGAGAGCTAAGTGCTCAGCCCAGGGCAACACTACTACAAGTGGCAGGGCTGAGACCAGAGCCCAGACAGCTGGGTTCTAGAGTCCACCGCACTTCTAACCACTACACGTCACAGCCTCTTGGTTAGAAGTGAGCCCTGGAGACTAGAGGAGGAAATACACCTTATTTAACTACCAGGGGCAGCATTTTGGATACTCATAATGGACTTCCTGAAAGCGAGGGGAGGGAATCTTCATGCCACAGGAGATTACTTCAAGAGAAACAAAAATGAGGGGTAGAGGTTTTCCTCTGGAGGCTTCTCTAGCTCTGGGGCCCTGGGAGATGTGTTTGTCTGTAATTTTCACATAGTCCCAGACAAGCACTACCCAGCTCTGTTTGAGGTAGCCCTGCGGAGGGAGCAGGAGTGGTTCTTACCAGTGGGTTCTTGTAATAGAGCAGCCTCCGCTCATGGGAATCCAGGGCGAACCACCTTTTCTTAAAGGGTTCTCTCTGCTGCAAAAGAGGGAACCTCTTACCACGGATGACCAAGTCAGCTTCTGAGGACAGAGGTCAGGGGCCAGCCCAGGCCAAGCCAAGGGAGCTGGCCAGTCCTACTGGTTCTCCCGCCCAGCCACTGCAGTCAGACACCCTAGTGCATCTCCCTGGGGCCCGGGCAGGAGCCCTCAGGCTCTGAAGGTTCTATTCACCCTTCCAACCCCACCCTACCCTCTCCCAGCTTCGCCACTGCCTCTAGGTACTGCCTTGAGTTGGAAAAGGCACTTTCCTCTTTCTCAGGCTGTGGACAAAGAAGTTAGAGAAAAAGGAAGTCTGGGAAAAATCAGAAGTGGCTACTGCTTGGCAAGGCTGAAAGTGCTGGCCTCAGCCAAAATCTGACTTAGGGCAGGGAGAGAAAGCCCTGCAATGAGAACCACGGGAGGGGCTGCACCTTGGTTAGTGAAGGAAGACAACCGAAAACAACCCTTTGACTACTTTTTCCCACCTGCCCAAGGCTTGCTTTCACAATGACTGCCTAAAACGGGGATATCCAATCTTTTGCCTTCCCTAGGCCACAGCAGAAGAAGAATTGTCTTGGGCCACACATAAAATACACTAATGATAGCTGATGTGCGAAGAAAAAAAAATCGATAAACAATCTCATAATGTTTTAAGAAAGTTTATGAATTTGTTCGAGCTCAGTAGCTCTCACCTGTAATCCCAGCACTTTGGGACGCCGAGGTGGGTGGATCACTTGAGGTCAGGAGTTTAAGACCAGCCTAGCCAACATGGTGAAACCCCGGCTCTACCAAAAATACAAAAATTAGCTGGGCATAATGGTGGGTGCCTGTAATTCTAGCTACTTGGGAGGCTGACGCAGGAGAATTGCTTGAACCCAGGAGGTGGAGGTTGCAGTGAGCTGAGATCACACCACTGAACTCCGCCTAGGTGACAAAGTGAGACTCTGTCTCAAAAAATAAAAAAAGGAAAGTTTATGAATTTGTTTTGGGCCTCATTCCAAGCCGTCCTGGGCTGCAAGTGCCCCATGGGCTGTGGGCTGGACCAGCTTGGCCTAACACCTTTCACTGTCCTCTTAAAAATCATCCCAGAAACACATTAAACCTGTTATACACATTAAACCATTTACGTTCCCCAGGAATGGTAGAAGGTACCTTTGGCCCAGTCTTCTCCATGAAGCCTTGTTTGAGGTAGTTCCTGGTGAGGAATGGCACGAGCTGGGGAAGAGACACTGACCCCCAACTCACACCCCAAGGCTCCAGGTTCCCTGCCTAGCTTGGCTCCCGACCAAGGGGAAGTTTGAAATGGGGAAGGATGTGTGCTCATGGTTCACGGTATTATATTTGGAAAGTGCAATGGATGTAATATTAATATTTCAACAAAGCCAGTCGACAGCACCCCGGATGTTTGCAGAGCTTACTGGCACGACAAGGTCTCAGCGCAAGGACCCCTTTAGCAACCCCAGAATACGGACCTAGGCAAGGCTCTGCGGAGACCCTCTTGGTGTCAGGGAACATGTTCTGAGGGTCCACTTTGTGTCAGGCTCCAGATGCAATTCTCAATCACACTGCGAGGTGGGTATCACCAACCTCATTACACATCTGAAGAAACTGGGCCACAGAGAAGGGGCTGGGGGTTTTCCTAAAGTCACATCACTGGAAGCATGAAGAGCTGAGATTCACACCCAGGGCCGATGACACTAGACTGTACACTAGGGGGTTAAAGTATAAACAGGCCAGGGCTCTCTAAGCAGGACCTTGAGCAAGACCTGGTCATTGGTCAGGATTCTGACACAGAGTAATGAGAAAATGACACCAGAGGCTGGGTGTGGTGGCTCATGCCTGTAATCCCAGCACTTTGGGAGGCCAAGGCGGGTGGATCACTTGAGGCCAGGAGTTTGAGACTAGCGTGGCCAACATGGCAAAACCCCACTTTTACCAAAAATACAAAAATTAGCTGGGCATGATGGCGTGCGCCTGTAATCCCAGCTACTCAGGAGACTAAGGCAGGAGAATCCCTTGAACCTGGGAGGCAGAGGTTGCAGTGAGCCAAGATCGTGCCACTGTACTCCAGCCTGGGCAACA